GAGTCGGTTGTTTCGCGGCACCTCGTTTTTAGCACCTTTGCGTAGACTTTGTCTGGGAGGCTCAGCAACTTAATGGTCGTATAACTGGAGCATTCTTTGTGGTCTCCCTTCTTGAATACGGGTACAGTAACTCTTGTTCTCAAGTCCGATGGTGTCTTTCCCGCAGTTATTGCAGTTTGACAGATACGTGTAAGCCACTGTGCCTTGTTTGCCTAATGCTTTGGGCATTTTAGGGCGGATTTCATAAATTCCAGCAGCCTTTTGACTTTTCAAACTTTTCACAGCTTGTGTAATTTCATCTAGAGAAAGAGTAATATCCGTTACCTGATGCTTTACTGGGGAGTCTTCCTGCGGCACTAAGGAGTTCCTCAAAATACTCTGTCCATCATTGAGGAATGTCATCATCCTTGGTAAGAGGTTGTCCACACCTGTCCTTCAAGATTCTTAGACTGCCCTTGTTTAAACCACAGAGGCGGCGGATGCTCTCTCAGAATATTTTGTTTGCCGTGTGGAAATTGGACGCCAGCACCTCACCGAACTTCCCTCGGGAATCAGCTTTGGCTTTCGCCATTGCTTTAGTTGCCGTCTTGCGTGCCTCGGCATATCGCAGGCGAGTAGAAGGCTCTTTGTTTTGAAATGATTTCTTGAACGCTACCTTCTTGTTAACTGTCAGTTGTAACTCTCTTGTCCACCAGAAAGATCTTCTCTGACCTCCAGGAGGCAGGCGAACCCCTCTAAATCCGCAGCATTCGGCGGCAGCCTCGGGTATGCCGTTCTTAAAGTGCGGTCAGTTGGTTTCCAAATCACAAGTCATCACCGGAATCTGTTCAAACCATCATGCGATGTTGTTTGCAGGTTTCGTTCTCGTATCCGCCGATGATAATGTTTCCCACTTGATTCTCTGGTTGTTTCTGCTGCCAGATCTTCGGATGGTACTCTATTTCAGACGGAACTGTTTGTCATTTAATTTTAAATTTTGGGTAGTATCGTGGTTAATCAACTTTGGATTCTTCCTCGGCGAAAATTCTCGATCGCATTGCCAGGTGAAATGTGTTTTGTTTGTACCTCCGTGGTCGCCATTACTTTGGATTGTTTCCATTAGGAGATGCTCATAATTTTTGATGTCCGCCATATTTTCAGCTTTACCGCACTTCTACTATATAGCACCTGTTACTCCAATGTAAGAGAAACATTTTCACATCGAAAGCAGATTTACTTTTAGCATATTGTTCCATGTTGCACACTGGCCTCCAGGTCGACTTGTACCATTATTTGGTTCGCACGCGAGAAGCTCATGGGTTGAAGTAAATGGTTTATGATGAATCAGTATGTCTAACAGGGCCATCGTCCTTTCTTTTATCTTTTCCGTCTAATAGAGTATGATCGTTCGTTGCGTAGTCTTGCCATTATACGTCGAAGCCAATTCTGTTGTACGCAGTTCAGCGTTGTTCTTGGCCCGTAGGGAGAACAACCGTTTCCGTTTCATACAGCAAAGCTGACCTGACCGACACATGGTACAGACGGAATTTTGTTGAAAGTATTTGGTGGTAATCATCACCTGGAGTTGTTTTCATCAGCGAAGAGTCTCCGACTTGTGATACCCGTTGTGTTCGCAGTTGCTCAAAGAGCTACTCCTTTCTCAGCCCAGAAATTTGATAGGTTATTAAAAGCACTGTACGAGATGAAAATCCTTTTACTTAACTCTAATTGTATGGTATCATTGGCGGTGTTTAAAATGGTCAACCTTTGTATTCCACAAGTAGATCAGCCATGTCTGATGGGTTCCTCATAACTTAAAACTTATGGGTGTTAAGG